TAAATTTCATTCCTGGGCTACTATAAAGTCCCAAAGGCAACGTAACCAATCTGGCGAATTTCAATTTCAAATGTAACGTGCTATATTTGACCCTGTAACTTCCCAAAACGCCATAAAACCTGTACATAGGGGGTACTGTTTTACACGTGAGACTTTGCTGAATACAAATATGTGTATTTTATTGCAGTAAAAGCAAACAGTATTATGACATTGACAGTTAAAATGTCATGTAGAACAAAAAAAAATAAAAATAAATCTTAATTTCTCCCATTTCTTTCATATTAAATTATGTTTCATAGCTAAATATTTGATATGAAATGAAAGCCCTGTTTCCCCTGAATAAAATGATATATAATAAGGGTGGGTGCATTTAATATGAAAGAGGTGAATTACGGTTGGACAGACATGTAGCGCAAATGCCAGGTTTTGTTTACATTTTGTTTCGTTCACAATGTGTACATCTGGTTCCGTCCTTAAGGGGTTAACTCCTAAATGACAGTGAATTGAGCAGTGAAATTGCAGGGGAATGATCTATACACTAAAACTGCTTTATTTAGCTAAAATAATTTAGGTGACTATAGTGTTCCTTTAAGGATACTGGGAACCCAATGTGAAAGGGCTAAGAAAGGTTGCAGATATAATAAGATAAATAAATTACTGACAGGTCTGATATCATGCCTGCCTGCCTATTTTTAAACAAAAAAAAGGAAGGGAGAAAAAAAGATCAAGCAACCTTTGCCCACCCATGGTAAGAGGCTTTCAGGAAAGGATTTGTAGTTGAGTGCTGAAAGGCCATCTGGAACGGGACTCTTGTTAGGCATAAATAATCCTAAAGCTGTGGCTAGCTCTTCTACCATTACCTCCAAAGCTAAAGTTATTTTTGCATCCTCTGGAAGGTTGGGAAGTTTAATTCAGTCTAGAAAAGTCAGAAATGGCTCTTTGGAGTTGATCATTTCATGTGTGGGATAAGTGATTATAAAAGTTGGTAAAGTATTGTTTGAAGATCTCACCTATCTTTTCTGGGATATCACTAATAAGTACTTCCTGGGGTGCAGATTTTAGAGATTTTTTGGAATCAAGTGTTTGTTTGAGGTGTCGGGCGAGCATAAAATCTGCATTATTTGCTTTTTCATAGCATTTTTGCTTTGTCCACATCAGTACCTTAGATGTGTCTGTCAGAGATAGTCATTTAAATATATCTCTAAGAGAGTTGTATGAAGTGTGCACGGGTAGGATGCTGTTTGTGTAGATTTTTTTAGGCTGTTGAGTTCCTCAGTGGTGTCTGTAAGCATTTGGATGTGTGATTTCCAAGCTGAAGCTAGACTAATGAGTTTGCGTTGGATTTTGTGGACTTCCCAGAGTGTTATTGGGGAGGATACTGAATGTTCGTTTAGAGTGAAGTAGTCCAATAAAACCCTTAAATACTACTCTTATATTGTTGGTTTAAAAAATCACAGTTTTTTGTGCTAAATAGAACATTTGCGGCCTGCGGTGCATTTCTTGCAGTCCAATAAAACCCTTAAGTACTACTCTTACATTGTTGGTTTAAAAAACTCACACCTTTTTGTGCTAAATAGAACATTTGCGGCCAGCCAACGTGGACAAGCTCACGTTTATTAAAATGAACCAGGCATGGATCCCACCAGACTTGTCTGTACCTAGACATTTATACTGGCCTCACCCAGCCATTGTTATATTCAAGTGCACTTATTGTTTGTTTTTCTTTTTTTATATGTCCCAATATTTCGGGGGCTACTCCAATAAAAAACAAACAAACAAACAAAAAAAAAAAAAACAGTGTTGGCTACCTCCTCCTCCTCCACCGCCGCTTCCACCTACACCGCCACGGTCACTTCCTCCTCAACCTCCTACTCCACATCCACATACTCCTCCTAGTTCAAGATTATTATTTTAAATTTTTATGTATTTTATGTTATTTCCCTATCCACATTTGTTTGCAGGGCACTTGTCCTACTCTTACCCCCATTTTACTTCCTTTTGCATCCCTCTAGCCCTTTCCAGGACTTTTTTTAGAGCCATTTTAGTGCCCAAAAGTTCGGGTCCCCGTTGACTTCAATAGGGTTCGGGGTCAAGTTCGAGGCTGAACTCAAACTTTTTGCCGAAGTTCGGCCAAACCCAGCGAACCCAAACATCCAGGTGTCTGCTCAACTCTATTAGCAATATGTCTTCTAGTTGTCTGTAAGCACAACAAAGGGGAACATGTCATTTTGTGGGGTTGTTGAGACCTCTGGCATTGCTAGAGACACAATTAAAGGAGCACTATAGAGTCAGGAACACAAACATGTATTTCAGACCCTATAAGGTTAAAACCACCATCTAGCCCCCCTGGTCCCATCATGCCTCCCTAAATATAGTAAAATATTACTTGTATTCAAGCCTGCAGCTGCTTACATGTCCCTGTTTCCTTTAGACCTGCCCACTGCCTGTTGACATCAGCAGAAGTGGTAGCCTGATCCAATCACAATGCTTCCCCATAGGATTGGCTAAAACTGACAAAGAGGCAGATCAGGGGTAGAGCCAGCACAATTCAAACACAGCCCTGGCCAATCAGTATCTCCTCATAGAGATGAATCGAATCAATGAATCTCTATGAGGAAAGTTCAGTGTCTGCATGCAGAGGGTGGAGACACTGAATGTTTGGATGCATTAGGCAGCCATGACACAGAAAGGATCTCTAACAGCCATCTGAGGAGTGACGAGTGAAGTTATCACTAGGTTGTAATGTTAACACTGCATTTTCTCTGAAAAGACAGTGTTTACAGCAAAAAGCCTGAAGGTAATGATTCTATTCACCAGAACAAATTCAATAAGCTGTAGTTGTTCTGGTAACTATAGTGTCCCTTTAAGGTCACGTGGCATCATGGATCAGTGAAGAAGCATGCAATGGTAGGACTTATTGAGGCAAGGTGGGAATTGGGGAGGAAAAATGAAAGGAGAATGTAAAGCTGCTTTATTGGAGCAAAAAAAAAAAAATCATAACATGTTATGAGAGAAGAAGACAGAGAATGGGGTTAGTAAGCAAAATTGTAAAAAAAAAAAAAAAGAAAAAAGCAGAGTAACAAACTGTAATCTAACATACCCAATTGCACCTAATGTGTTTTAGCTTGACATATCCATTTAAACTCTGTTTTCAATGAAATTATGAAATGTGGCATTTGTTTCATTTAATAACTTGTTCTAAGCTGGAAGTATCCTGGTAAACATACCATGGCAACAAAATAAATATTCACATTAATTGGAAAAAGACTCACCTCGTGATGCAGTGTTGTCACTGTGTTATTGAGGAGGTGGTCTGCAGTTGAGCCACATTTTATTTAGCTAATTTTCAAACTAACAGTGTTCCCAATACAGCACTCTTATCAAAAAATTTCCCTGAATCTACATAACACATTTTATGTTATATAAAGCCTAACTAAAAAACAAACTAACAATTAGAATGTTCAAAATTAGATGTTGAAACAGTTGTATATAAAAAAAATGAATTAATAATAAAAAAAAAAAATAAAGAAAAAAAAAAAAAAAAGAAACAGTTGTATAAAATTATAATTTTATACAAAGTAAATAGTTGCTTTGGATTTCTTAACTTAAAAGTTTGTCATGTGTATCCAAGTAAATAAACAGTAATGTTTTATGGAACTTTCTCCCAATGGATGATGTCACAAGCTGGAGCAATGTAAGTTTGCTTGATCACTCGTACACTTTAGTATTCCATTTAAATTAAATATCATTGAGTGATTTGAGGCAACCTGTATTGGTAACTTAGGTTCAGGCAAATGTATTGTTTAAAACCAATCTCTAAATTGCATCCTTCCCCACAGTTATTCACCACAGAGTTTTTATAATCAACACACAGATTATATTTAGAACACTCCACAAATTTTAATCAGAATACTCCACACGTATAAAACACTTCAGCTTGGATGAAAGGTCATCTAATCACCTATAGTTCTGGAAATTATTTTAGATGTTGTTATATTGTGAAGACATGATGTATGAAATATGTACCATATTTGGTGTTAAATTATTTGTCTGGATTCACAGTGACGATTCATAAATATATTGCATTGTACATGTTCAGACAGGTTTGGAATACAATTATTGGCCCACATAAAACTGGAATTCCTGCACCTATTTACCCCTTCTCAGGAAGGCCTGCCTAAGAATGTTTAATCCTTCCATCCAGTAAAGTCATGTGCAGACCTGGAGTGTCCTGTGTTGTAGAAGCACATGCAAAGCAGAGTCTCCTGACCCGCAAGCCAGCGATCTATCACTGTTAATCAGTAACAAGTCTGTGAAAAAGGGAGATTATTTATTGGAGACAGATGCAAAAGAGTTTTTATTTATCTATTCATTTTTACAGAATGGCTTTTCCGGTAGTACATAAAAATAAAATAAAAATGTAAGCAATTTTTAAAACAACCAAAAAAAAACCAAAACCCCCAGCACAAATAGTGCTAATAAAACTTAGACATCAATAATACCTTATGCAAGAATATTATTTGGGCAAGAGATGTATTTGAAAATAGGAGACACTGAACGAATATTGGGAGAGATAGGAAGAGAACCACAAGAGGACAGTGTCACAGAGACCGAGGGATTGAAGAGTTTGGAGAAGGAGGACATGATCAACAGTGTCAAAGGCTGCACAGATGTCAAGACAAATTATAATGGAGTAGTGACCTTTGGATTTAGCTGTGATTAGGTCATTTGTAACTTTAATATGAGCAGTCTCAGTAGAGTGGAGGGGACGAACGCCAGATTGAAGAGGATTGAGGAGGCAGCTGGAATTTAGGAAATGAGTCATATGAGTAAATACAAGCCTTTCTAGAAGCTTTGAGGAAAAAGGAAGCAGGGATATGGGACGATAGTTGGAAGGGGACTAGGGATGACTTTTTTTAGGATAGGTACGACAGTAGCATGCTTAAAGGACCTTCTACCTAGCATGCTTGGCCTTCTATGGGATGCTGTGTGACAGGGGTATGCCCTACCCTCAAGCGGCACGGGCGGTGGCCTCGTGGATCCGCCCGGAGACCCGCCGACGCCAGTATGGAGACCCGCTGCGGGCCTTCGGGGCAGCCATCCGACCATATAAGCATCGACACACGATAGGGTGGGAAACGAACCCCACCGACCCGGGCATACACACCCGCTTCCACGAACATGGTAAGGAGAATGCACAGCACCTCAGACCAGCAAGCTACCATGTAGCGACCCAGAGCTGAAACCGAGCAGCACACTGCGGCAAGGGAGACAGACATACTACACCAAACTGGGGAGGGAACTTCACCTGAAGAAGCCGTACTGGTCGATAAGACTGTCCCCACAACATGGCCCATGTGCGGAGTCGGCTGATTCCGGGCTAGCAATAGTACAGCCTCAAAGGGTACTGCAGACTCTCTAGACCCAAGATGAGACACGAACTGTTCATATATGTTGTTAACGTTTATGCCATTATGCCACACTCACACCCTCTGCACTCTTGTTTCCTACCTAAGGGCACCTCTCGCGCCCCACATGATACCTGACACTAGAGAGCAGAGCACCATTTTCTACCTCTCCCGCACTCACTACTCTAAGCCAGCTATGGGTGCACTTGACTACCACCCCTGAATTAGGCTGCTTTGACACTCTCACACCTGTAGGACAGGCTCTGCATTCAAGCGACATCCTTATTGTTAACACTGCTCTTATGCTTTAAGCTTCAGTCTCTAACATGCGCTAAAATCTTGCTTACTCTATTATTTCTCAACATGTGACCTACATAGTTTACTACAAGCTTAAGTATACCCAACTATGCTATTCGAATGTCATATGAATACTAAGCCAAGCATGTTATACTATACAACAATGTGCAAATTGTTTACATGCCATGTTTATGTAATATCCAATGTGGCTATACAAGCAATGTGTGTGCTATGTCTAGTAAAAGAGTTGCTGTGTTAACCTTCACCATGTGTCGTCTGGTGTTTGGGGAAAGGAATATAATCTGCTGATAGAAAGGGTGCCCAGGGCTACATACACAGTAGCCTGGTCCAGGGTGGAAAAGGCCCTCAGTGGTCCCAGACAAGCCTCGGTGACTGGATATGAAGTGCTCCAAGGTCCCTAATAAGTAAGAGGTAGCAGACTTGGCGGAGGTACTTAGTTGGAGTACTGAAGCTCCGTTACAACTTCCAACTCACTCACACTCCTGTCTCCTACCAATTTTCTCCCACTTGTCTCCCAAGCATTCTATCCACATTTGTGTCTCCCTCACTTGTTTTCCTTTTCATCTGCCCTTTTTATGTCTCCCACCTCATATCTCCTTGCTATGTGTTAGAGACCTAAGTGTCTCTCCCCACATATGCCTCCCTCGTCATCATTCCACACTCAGAGGCATTACTAGAAACCTCATGGCCATGGTGCAAGAATTTGTTAAGGATTCCACATCAGCTATAGAGCAGACGTGGCCAATATGTAGATCCTCGGCCACTGTACAAATCCTATGATGCTTTGCCAGCTGTTGGTCTGTTTACCTATTCTTGCAGAGTTCTATTTTTATGCAGACTGTAGGCATGATTTTGTATGGAGTATACTTGTTTGAATGTTTGTTTATTTGTGTTTAATGCTGATGTTTGAATGCAGGGGGTTTGTGTGTAGTGTTGGCATTTAAATGAAGGGGTGTGTGTAGTGTTGGTGCTTGAATGCAATATTTCTTTTGTAGTGTTAGTGTATGAATGTTGGTCTGTAATGTTGGTGTGTGAATGCAGGGGTGTGTTTTATGTGTAGTGTTGGCATCTGAATGCAGGGGTATGAACTTTAAATACACTTTAGCGTTTTATTCTCTCAAGATTTTAATAACCATAACTTGTCCTTATGAAATTCATGTAAGTGTTAGTATTACAACTGTAAGGAATGGTTAAAATCTGTTGAAAATGGCAGATATTCAGACCACAATGGTAATTCTCATATTTACTATTTGGCCAGCCAGAGTGAATCTGACAGAGTTATCACCCAGATTCATTTGGTGTCTGGATTAAAATCAGTGCTTTCACATTTTAATCCTATACCAAGGTTAGGATTTGAAAGATTCAAAAAGCACAGATTTTAATAAAATTCAGAACATAATGTTATTTATTAGGACCTATGCCCATGACATGGTGACTTTCTACTGACTGGGCAGCAATGGACAAGGTGTCTTCTTCAAATCAAACAGTCTGGAGCAAGAGTACATAGCATAGGGCTATGATTTGTAAACTATGTCATTCTTGCTGGGCACGATTGTAAAATAAATAGTTTTTCTGACAAACCATTCTCATGTTACCTCACAGCTAAATTTTTGCATGCTTTTTGCTACTAGGTTATAGTTGATTTTTTTGTGAGCAAGCCACATCATTTGAGATAGAATTTGCAAACATAATGTGTAGAAATCATAACCACACTCACACACATTCGTCATCATCAAAACACTAACTGACTATAAATTCCAATTTGTGCAATTTGAACATTGTATAGATTTTTTGACTCTATTTTTATGGTATTATAGTCCAAATATTGCACCACAGCTATTAATTTACAATACAGTTTGGTGAGTAAAATGCCATAGTATAAAATAGTAAAACTCCAGTTTGAGGCTTTTGTAAAACATTTCTTTATGATACCAAAACTAGCTCAAGAAACAAACGTGTTTTAAACGTATTCTCCATTTTCCTATTATGACACACCACACATGCCACCATGTGCAAAAGAACTGTTACAGCAGAGAATATTTGCATATGGTGAGTTCAGGAACTTATCTTTCACACTTTTTCTTTCACAGTTTTTTTTTAATATTTTGTTTGCTCTATCAACTATGTTAGTTACAAAGGCCTCTCAGCAGCTTCCTGAATCATTCCATAATGTGCATGCCTATTAAACTGCAAACAAATCAATACTCTCTGTTGACCAGCATAATCTCAACTGCTTTAAAAATACAGTATCTTGCAAAAGTATTCACCCCCATTGGCCTTTTTTGAGTTTTGTTGCCTCACAACCTGGAATTAACATGGATTGTTTGAGGATATCACTTAATTTACAGGACATGCCCACAACTTTGAAGATTTTTTTTATTTTTATTTTTTTTTATTGTGAAGCAAACAACAAATAGGACGATATAACAGAAAATGCAAATGTGCATAACTATTCACCCCCCTAAAGTCAATACTTTGTAGAGCCACCTTTTGCGGCAATCACAGCTCCAAGTCGCTTTGGATAAGTCTCTAAGGGCTTGCCACATCTTACCACTGGGATTTTTGCCCATTCCTCCGTGCAAAACTGCTCCAGCTCCTTCAAATTGAATGGTTTGCGCTTGTGAACAGCAATCTTTAAGTCTGACCACAGATTTTCCATTGGATTGAGGTCTGGGCTTTGACTAGGCCATTCTAAGACATTTACATGTTTCCCCTTAAACCACTCAAGTGTTGCTTTAGCAGTGTGTTTGGGGTCATTGACCTGCTGGAAGGTGAACCTCCGTCCTAGCCTCACATCACGCACAGAGTGGTACAGGTTTTGCTCAAGAATATCCCTGTATTTAGTACCATCCATCTTTCCCTCAACTCTGACCAGTTTCCCAGTCCCAGCTGGTGAAAAACATCCCCATAGCATGAAGCTGCCACCACCATGTTTCATTGTGTGGATGGTGTTCTTTGGGTGATGTGATGTGTTGGGTTTGCGCCAGACATAGCGTTTTCTTTGATGGCTGAAAAGTTCAATTTTAGTCTCATCAGACAACCTTCCTCCATACATTTTGGGAGTCTCCCACATGCCTTTTCACAAACTCAAAACGTGACATTTAGTTTTTTGCTGAAAGTAATGGCTTTCTTCTGGCCACTCTGCAATAAAGCTCAACTCTATGGAGCGTATGGCTTATTGTCGTCCTATGTACAGATACTCCAGTCTCTACTGTGGAACTCTGCACCTCCTTAAGGTTTACCCTAGGTCTCTGTGCTGCCTCTCTGATTAATGCCCTCCTTGCCCGGTCCGTGAGTTTTGGTGGGGGGCTGTCTCTTGGCAGGTGTCTCTTGACAGGTTTACTGTTGTGCCATGTTCTTTGGTTAGGATAGATTTGATGGTGCTCTCATGGGATCATCAAAGATTTGGATATTTTTTATAACCTAACCCTGACTTGTACTTCTCAAAAACATTGTCCCTTACTTGTTTGGAGAGTTCCTTGGTCTTCGTGGCAGTGTTTAGTTAGTAGTGCCTCTTGCTTAGGTGTTGCAGCCTCTGGGGCCTTTCAAAAAAGGGGTGTATATGTAATGACAGATCATGTGACACTTAGATTGCACATAGGTGGACATCATTTCACTAATTAGGGATTATTCTAGCCTCGGTGAGGGAATAATCTAAATATTAAGACAGGAGGCAAATATTTGCTTTACCTTTTTTACTGAAACCTCCAGCAGCAAAGAAACAGTTAACAGAACTTTTCAAAACAACCAATCAGAACAAAACAGGCATCAGTATAAAACCACTTAGGCAGACCCTCCCACTTCCTCTTTCTTTGAGGTCGAGCAGGAGAGCATGAAGACTAAATGAAAACTGTATCCGGCACACTTAGATGAGAAACCGTCATATCCAGAACAATTTAGATCACACTGCAAAAGAAAAGAAACATTGTGAAAGTAAACTGCCATAGCAAAATGTCACACCATACACAATCAGCGCATTTATAGACCACAATCTGATAAATAAATGTACATTGATCACCAATCGTAGTAACAAAATGTGTTTATTAAGAAAAACTTGGACCATACATTACGGCGAATACAATCACAAACCCTGATTAACATAAAGGCAAAAAACAACTCCAATTCCAGGGTGGGAATAACAGTAAGGGGGGAAAATATTCGCCTCCTGTCTTTAATAAAATTTAGATTATTCCCTCACCGAGGCTAGAATAATCCCTAATTATATGTCAGGACAGGAGGCTTCATATTTGCAATTTTAACGCCCAGACATAAAAACAGAAGAAACATGAGAGTGCGGGCGAAAACTAAAAGGTACGGAATGTCGATTCTCTAGACCAATCAGCGGCATTGAGTATATCCACAAGGGACCCACCGGTTTCTAGAGCTGCTGAGGCTGCAGCGCCCCGAACCAAATGTGCCCCAAACGAACTCGCAATGCCAGCCGATGAGAGGAGCCATCAAATCCAACGAGCGATCATGGGTGCTGAGACAGCCCCAAAAGGTCCTGACTCCTCCAC